GACAAATGTTTTTTTACTTGACGTGCTGTTGAGTGTGAGCAAAGTACATTATGAATGTTCAGGAAACCGGCAGGCCACTTGAGTCCTGGAGTAGAATAATGGCACTCGGAAAGGGTGTTAATGTTGCAGTTTAAAAACTGTAGTGAAAGCACCCTTCTGGCAGACATGTGGAGTGAAATGATGTGAAATTTTTTTCTTTTTCGGCCACCCTGCCTTGGTGGGAATCGGCCGGTGTGAAATAAAAAAAATAAAAAAAAAATATAAAATAAAATATTTTACTAATTAATCACAGGTATATATAATTTTTCGGTAAACATGTTACTTAGACCACAATACATAGATTGAATCAGACCATTTATTTAATCCTAAACATTTCCTGGGTATAAATATAGGTGTCTTTCTTAACTTGGATTTCTTCTCGCTGCATTACTACTATCTCATTGGTTATAAGTTATGTGGTGTTGCCTTCCTGGCATATATAAAAACAAATGCCATCAACTACCTCCCAGGGATAGATCTTGTAAACTAACTAATGAGATACATGGCTGCAAGCTTCCATGTCTGCCTTAACATCAATAATATACTTAACAGAATGAATACTGAGTACTTCTCTTAGCCTTGTACACTGATGCTTGGTCCTGAGATCAGCAACAGACCTTTTTGAAGGGACACACATGTCACATAATTTGCCCATATGGTTTTTCTACTTGATCCCACTAGTAACATCTTTAGGGATAGGGAAAGGATGCATAAATCCATTGAGATATAGCAGTCCGTTTTCACTAGTGATTTGACAAAAATTAATCAAGGTAATTAGTTTGGTTCTCACTGTGTAAATGCAGGTGGATGTTCTATATTTTGTCCTGTATTGTACAAAACATAAATTTATTCTTATACAGCCATTGGATTAGTACTGGTAAACATTTGTGTGCTTTGCCTGATGTATTACAGGAACTATAATAGTAAGTTGTGGCCACTATTTCATTTATTTTCAAGTGATTTATTTTTTACATACCTGTACAGAACTGTAATTTGTTGTGTGTGGTGTACTCGTTTTATTTTTGGGTAAAACTTGGTCGTAGCTTGTGGATTTTGCTTTTCTCATCTTTTCATTAAATTCCTTTAATTATTCTTTCTGTATATGGCTGTTTGGTTCATTTATGGTGTACTGCCTCTTGTATTCAGTTTTGTTGGATACCTCTATGTCAAGAAATATATGTTCTTTCTTTTGTCCTGGAACACAGTCTTACATGTTCATGTGATTTTTCTTTATTCTGTTTTGCTGTGTAATGGCCCTAGATTGCAGTCTACCATATACAGTGGAACCTCGGTTTTTATCATTAATTCATTCCAGAAAGTCTGACAAAAACTGAATTCAACGAAAACTGAAGCAATATTTCCCACAAGAGATAATGTAAATCCAATTAATCCCTTCCAGACACCCAGAAGTATTAACAAAAAATGCATTTTATAAGGAATAACTATAGTTTTACATGCAGAAAACAATGAGAAATAAATATAAAGGACTAATGAAATAGATAAATGAACATTTAATATCACTTTTACCTTTATTGAAGACTTGTTGGCATATGGAAGACAGCGAGGAGAGGAGAGGGAGGAGGAGAGGTTATTATTTGGAAGGAGAATCCCCGTCCATAAGGATTTCAGGTATCAAGGCCCTGTCCGGGGTTACTTCCCTTCTTTGTCTTTTACTGGCACTAGAATCAGCTTAAAAGTCACTAGACCCCTGTCGCACAAAAAAAGTCTATCCAGAGAGGTCTGTTTCTGACGTCTCTTTAAGATTTGCCTAAAATGGGACAACGCATTCTCATTGAACATGTTGCAGACACGGCTTACAACAGCTTTGTTTGGGTGATATTTCTCCACAAAACTTTCCAACTCACTCCACTTTGCACACATGTCCTTAATCAGTGAAGAAGGCACATTCTCCCCTCTCTCTTCCTCCTCCTCTGAAGCAATTTCCTCAGCTGCGAGCTGTTGCTGTTCCAGTTGAAGGGTTTTGCAGCTCTTCGGGGGTTTAGCTTTTCCCCTGTGGTCTCCCCCCAATCTCTCACTCACCCCAACCCCAAATAGACTTTGCTACGGTTTTTTTTGATTCTATTGCTTTTTGCCTTCTTTATCAAGGGTTGGGCACTCAAAACTTTTTTGGCCCCATGGTGGCTTTCTAGCGTCACATCTAAACAAAGACAAAAAAAAAAGGGATTACTATGAAATTTTTCGGATGAACACACGGGGGAAAAGTTCTTCGCGAGAAACAAAGCCAGATTTTTATCAGAACCGTGGAATGTTTGTGGGGGGCTTTGGCGGCGACAGTTTGGTACAGGGGACTGACGAAAACAGAGGGGGTAAAACAAAACTGGGAGAAAATTTGAAAAAAAAGCCATAAAAAACCGAATTTAAACGAAAACCCGGGGAAAACGAAAATGAGGTTCCCCACCGTTTTTAATGCCCCTTTATTAAAACGAAAAGCTCAGAAATCACAAATTTTTAAATTGTGTTACAAGTAACACTCAGTAGTAACATGGTTTGTATTTTGTCTTTTTAATAATAGACTGAAGAAACCGCACCGAAGAATTCTAAGCCAGTCGGGCTTGGGTTTGGGCAGCTCAGTGCTGAAATTTTCAACTCAAGACTTGTTTTCTTAAATCTCCCCTCAGATTAAAAACTTATTTCTAAAATTCTAAAGTAAGTTCAAGTAACAAGTTTTATTTTTCCAATTTTGCTTTATAAAACGTTGTCAAAACAATTTTTTCTAATTTTAATTTTTTGTTTATTAAATTTTATTATTATTATTTTTAAAGTTTACTATTTTTTTTTTATTAAATAACTGTTTTTCTTTTTAGCAAAATGTAGTAGATTACAGTTTTAAATTAATTAGGTTGTTATTTTCTCAAAACATCTAAAAGGGGTATTTTTAAAATATTTGAAGACTATATTGCGTAAGGAAAGTGCTGACATCGGTTTGTTTTAAATTTAAACCCTTTTAGTGTCGAGACCCCCTGATTCTTAATCACTCTCTGTGTCGAAAATAAAAAAAAAAAATTTTTTTTTCTTATGAAAGACAGAAATTTGAGGGAAAAACTTACAAAAATTATGCCTTTTAAATTTAGCGATTTGGCGATATTTATAAATTTGGGCGTTTTGCCCACTTTGGCCTTATTTTCAGCCAATTCCATTGTTCCAGTAAAACTAAAAATCATAGCTATTTTCACTAAAAATTCCATTTCTTCTTTGATTGAGTATAAAAACTCCCTTTTTACTATTTAATCCCAATAAAGTGGTCAGAAATTAGCAATTTCCCCAATTTCCACAAATTTCAAAAGATGCAAATTTTAAAATAGGGTCCAGAATAAACAAGGCAGATTTTCCTGGCACTAAAATAAATTTTTTCTGTTCATTAGCCACGTCCAGGCCCCTCTTGTTATTCTTGTTTTCCATTTGAATTTTTATTCTCACAAAAAATAGAAGATTTTTATAAAAACTCTGCATTTTTTAAATAATTGTATAAATAATGTCAACCCATTTTGATGTGTATTAGACTGGCCAGTTGGACACACTTTAAAACAGCAACGTCATTTGTTTACTTTTGAACTTTGGCAAAAATCAAATACCCTGTACTTTGACCCAATTTCAAGGGTACTTTTTCATCGTGAAACCAATCAAAATCTCTCCATTTCTGTAATATATCTTCCTTCTATAAAATTAGACCAAGAAAACAAGAATATAACTAAAAACCCATAAAAAACACCCCACAAAGTCACTGTTTTAAACCAAAAACCCGTTTTTTTTTTTTTCTCATCATGCAATGCGTGCTCGGATTTTTTTATACTGTGCATACTGACCAGCAGCCCCCTTCTTTCATATGTGGCCTACCAGCTTTTTTCCACCAGATTTGAAGGAGTTTTGAATTTTGGGTAGTATCACTGACTCTAAGCAAAATTTACGGGGGCCCAAAACTGAAAGAGTTAACACCTCTAATCTGTTTTCTAGAGTAGGAAAAGTTTTTTTTTTTTTTTTTTTTTTAACTATCGGCCCTCTCCCCGAGGCGGGTGACCCCAAAGAGAAAAAAAAATCCCCCCAAAAAAAAAATCTTTCATCATATTCAAAAACTTTCACCTCACTCACACATAATCACTGTTTTTGAGAGGGGCCCAGAATACAACAGTTTAGAAGTATAACATATAAAAAAACACAATATATTCTCCAAACCGCCAATATCCCAAACCCCTCCTTTAATGCAGGCATTGTACTTCCCCCTTTCCGGACTCAAATCCGGTTATTAAAATAACCGGGTTTCCCCCGAATCCCCTTTACTAAATATTACCCTGCTCACACTCCAAAAGATCGTAGGCCCAAAAACCCTTTTTATTTACTCCTATCTAACCGCTCAGCACAAATTTCAGAAGTCCAAAACCCCCCGCCCAAAACCTCCCTTTTCCCCCTCCCCTACCTTTTCGAGTATGACCCCTACCCCGCCTTCCCTTTTCCTACAGATTATAGCCTCCATGTCATTTACTTTGATCCATTCTTCTAAAAAACCCAAAACCCCCTCAACAAACCCCTTCAGCCCTCCAACTAATATTTTATTAACCCAAAACCCCTCCTAATTTCCACACTCCAAATTTTCTGCAAATATTTACATCACACATTTTCTTTGACGGAATCTCCCCTGCCTCCAACCGCCTCCCTTTCTGCGGGGTTTACAAACCCCAAATTTCCAAAACCCCCAAAAGAGTGTTGGTACACTATACTTTCATACATTCCCCTTTTTGCCCCATAGATGCATTTTTTGCCCCCACAAAACCCCAATGCCCAACCACCTTTTTTTCCTTATCAATTCTATGATTAACCCCATCCTTCATAAATCCATCCGCGACATGGTCAACTCCCAAAAATTTTGAAAACATTCACTTCTTCCATATCCCCCTCCCCCCTTTTATATCCCAATTTTTCTTTATCTAAAACATTTGTACTTAAAGACGAACCCTGGCCTCCCGTGGCAAGGTCTGGTAACTCAGAGATAACTCTGGGCTGACAGTGGTCGCAAAAATTTTTTGTAGGTAGTAGGGGGGTAGACAGCAAACCCCCCAGGGAGGTACTAGTCCTGCCAAGTGAGTGTAAAAAGAAAGCCTGTGATTGTTTTACTATGGAGGGTTGCTGGTGTTTTTTTGGGCTGTTCATAAATATGCAAATTACAGCATTCTTGACTTTTACTTACACTTAGGTCACACTATACATACATGTACAATTTATTTTACACCTATCGGTTTTCTTTTATTTTTTATTTAATAGTTCTTTGGGCTTTTAATTTTCCTTTTAATCCTGGGGAATGGAATAAGAATCTTTCCTCCGTAAGCCATGCGTGTTGTAAAAGTCAACTAAAATGCCGGGGGGAAAAATGGGTAGTAACCCTTTTTCCCCGTAAAATTACTAAAAAGAATAAAAGAAGAAAAAAGTCAAAGTGGGGAAGTCTGAAGTGGTGGATGTTGTGCAGATATAAGAAAAGATGTTGTGGATGTTATGAATGAGAAAAGTGGATGTCCTGGCTTTAAGTGAAACAAAATGAAGGGGGTGGGAGAGTTTCAGTGGAGAGGATAAATGGATTAGGAGGGGGTTTTAAATAGATTAGAGCTAAAGAAGGGGTAGCAAAAATTTGAAGGTAAGCTTGGCAGGAAAAGGGCTACAAATGTATAAATTCAAGGTTATGTGGGTAAAATAAGATTGGATGTGAAAAATGGGTTTTTAATAAACGTGTATCACCTGGAGAAGAGAGAAGTGTAGAGGAGAGGGAGGGTTTTGGGGGAAATGTTGATGAATGCGTGGGGATTTTTAAACAAGTGTGGAGTAAAAGGTGGTTGGGGGGTTTAATTAAAGGGGGGAAAAATGTTTGGAGGGGGAGTAGTAGGTAAATTTGGGGTGCCAGGGGTAAATGTAAATGGGGAGCCTTTAATTGAGCTATGTGTAGAAAGAAATTTGGTAATAAGTAATACATATTTTATGAAAAAGAGGATAAATAAATATACAAGGTATGATGTAGCACGTAATGAAAGTAGTTTATTAGATTATTATTGGTGGATAAAAGGTTGATGGGTAGGCTCCAGGATGTACATTTTTTATAGAGGGGCAACTGATATATTCGGATCATTATTTAGTTGTAGCTACAGTTAGAGTAAGAGGTAATGGGAAAAAGGAAGGTGGCAACAACAAGTAAGAGGGAGGTGAAAGTGTATAAACTAAGGGAGGAGGAAGTTCGGGTGAGATATAAGCGACTATTGGCAAAAAGGTGGGCTAGTGCAAAGATGAGTAGTGGGGGGGTTGAAGAGGGTTGGAATAGTTTTAAAAATGCAGTATTAGAATGTGGGGCAAAAGTTTGGGTTATAGGAGGGTGGGCGCAGGAGGAAAGAGGAGTGATTGGTGGAATGATAAAGTAAAGGGTGTGTAAAAGAGAAAAAGGTAGCTTATGAGAGGTTTTTACAAAGCAGAAGTGTTATAAGAAGAGCAGAGTATATGGAGAGTAAAAGAAAGGTAAAGAGAGTGGGTGAGAGAGTCCCAAAAGGAGAGCAGATGATAGAGTGGGAGAGGCCCCTGTCAAGAAATTTTTAAAGAAAATAAGAAAAAATTTGGAGTGAGTTAAACAAGTTAAGAAAGCCTAGGGAAAATATGGATTTGTCAGTTAAAAACAGTGTAGGGGAGTTAGTAGATGGGGAGATGGAGGTATTGGGTAGATGGCGAGAATATTTTGAGGAACTTTTAAATGTTAAGGAAGAAACAGAGGCAGTAATTTCATGCACTGGTCAGGGAGGTATACCATCTTTTAGGAGTGAAGAAGAGCAGAATGTAAGTGTGGGGGAGGTAACGTGAGGCATTACGTAAAATGAAAGGGGGTAAAGCAGCTGGAACTGATGGGATCATGACAGAAATGTTAAAAGCAGGGGGGGAAAATAGTGTTGGAGTGGTTGGTACTTTTGTTTAATAAATGTTTTGAAAGAGGGAAGGTACCTAGGGATTGGCGGAGAGCATGTATAGTCCCTTTATATAAAGGGAAAGGGGACAAAAGAGACTGTAAAAATTATAGAGGAATAAGCTTATTGAGTATACCAGGAAAAGTGTATGGGTAGGGTTATAATTGAAAGAATTAGAGGTAAGACAGAATGTAGGATTGCGGATGAGCAAGGAGGTTTCAGAGTGGAGGGATGTGTGATCAAGTGTTACATTGAAGCATATATGTGAACAGTATTTAGATAAAGGTAGGGAAGTTTTTATTGCATTTATGGATTTAGAAAAGGCATATGATAGAGTGGATAGAGGAGCAATGTGGCAGATGTTGCAAGTATATGGAATAGGTGGTAAGTTATTAAATGCTGTAAAGAGTTTTTATGAGGATAGTGAGGCTCAGGTTAGGGTGTGTAGAAGAGAGGGAGACTACTTCCCGGTAAAAGTAGGTCTTAGACAGGATGTGTAATGTCACCATGGTTGTTTAATATATTTATAGATGGGGTTGTAAAGGAAGTAAATGCTAGGGTGTTCGGGAGAGGGGTGGGATTAAATTTTGGGGAATCAAATTCAAAATGGGAATTGACACAGTTAATTTTTGCTGATGATACTGTGCTTATGGGAGATTCTAAAGAAAAATTGCAAAGGTTAGTGGATGAGTTTGGGAATGTGTGTAAAGGTAGAAAGTTGAAAGTGAACATAGAAAAGAGTAAGGTGATGAGGGTGTCAAATGATTTAGATAAAGAAAAATTGGATATCAAATTGGGGAGGAGGAGTATGGAAGAAGTGAATGTTTTCAGATACTTGGGAGTTGACGTGTCGGCGGATGGATTTATGAAGGATGAGGTTAATCATAGAATTGATGAGGGAAAAAAGGTGAGTGGTGCTTTGAGGTATATGTGGAGTCAAAAAACGTTATCTATGGAGGCAAAGAAGGGAATGTATGAAAGTATAGTAGTACCAACACTCTTATATGGGTGTGAAGCTTGGGTGGTAAATGCAGTAGCGAGGAGACGGTTGGAGGCAGTGGAGATGTCCTGTTTAAGGGCAATGTGTGGTGTAAATATTTTACAGAAAATTCGGAGTGTGGAAATTAGGAGAAGGTGTGGAGTTAATAAAGTATTAGTCAGAGGGCAGAAGAGGGGTTGTTGAGGTGGTTTGGTCATTTAGAGAGAATGGATCAAAGTAGAATGACATGGAAAGCATATAAATCTATAGGGGAAGGAAGGCGGGGTAGGGGTCGTCCTCGAAAGGGTTGGAGAGAGGGGGTAAAGGAGGTTTTGTGGGCAAGGGGCTTGGACTTCCAGCAAGCGTGCGTGAGCGTGTTAGATAGGAGTGAATGGAGACGAATGGTACTTGGGACCTGACGATCTGTTGGAGTGTGAGCAGGGTAATATTTAGTGAAGGGATTCAGGGAAACCGGTTATTTTCATATAGTCGGACTTGAGTCCTGGAAATGGGAAGTACAATGCCTGCACTTTAAAGGAGGGGTTTTGGGATATTGGCAGTTTGGAGGGATATGTTGTGTATCTTCATATGTGTATGCTTCTAGACTGTTGTATTCTGAGCACCTCTGCAAAAACAGTGATAATGTGCGAGTGTGGTGAAAGTGTTGAATGATGATGAAAGTATTTTCTTTTTGGGGATTTTCTTTCTTTTTTGGGTCACCCTGCCTCGGTGGGAGACGGCCGACTTGTTGAAAAAAAAAAAAAAAAAAAAAATTTGATACTCTCATCACCTTACTCTTTTCTGTGTTCACTTTCAACTTTCTACCTTTACACACATTCCCAAATTCATCTACTAACCTTTGCAATTTTTCTTTAGAATCTCCCATAAGCACAGTATCATCAGCAAAAAGTAACTGTGTCACTTCCCATTTTGTATTTAATTCCCCATAATTTAATCCCACCCCTCTCCCAAACACCCTAGCATTTACTTCTCTTACAACCCCATCTATAAATATATTAAACAACCATGGTGACATTACACATCCCTGTCTTAAGACCTACTTTTACTGGGAAGTATTCTCCCTCTCTTCTACACACCCTAACCTGAGCCTCACTATCCTCATAAAAACTCTTTACAGCATTTAGTAACTTACCACCTATTCCATATACTTGCAACATCCGCCACATTGCTTCCCTATCCACTCTATCATATGCATTTTCTAAATCCATAAATGCAATAAAAACTAGGTATGTATAAATATTGAGGATGAGTATAAACTTTTTTTTTTTTTTCAGAATGAAAACAAATTGCCCACAGAAGGAGACATGAATTCTTCCATGACATCATCCATATTGAGTACAGATAGTCTGGATGATCCTGTATATAAGCTAGAGTTCCATGCGTTTCGTGATCAAGTGCAGCAGACCTTCGATGTCCATATGAAGACAATTATGCAGATTTTTGAAGAAAAATGTAAGTATCTGGTTGTTTTTATGGCTTTAAGGAGGAAAAGTTCACCATTGTTTTGAGATTATGGCGGTACAGTGGAACCTCAGTACTCAAACAGCTCCATACTCAAACAATTCGGTATTCGAATGCTTTGTTCGGTAAGCAAATTGCTCAGTAGTTGACCATTTGCTCGGCACAACACCAAACAGATACGACCTGCCAAAGCTTCTCTGTAAACTATTTCATGTTTCTTCGCATTTTTTGATGTTTTTTTTATATTACATGTATTTGTGTAAATAAGTCACCATGGGGCCTAAGAGGGTTAGTGATTACAGCCAACCCAAAAGAAAATTGGTTGGGAAAAATTCGTTCTGTACTCAAACAGATCAGCACCTGAACAGCCTTCTGGAACTAATTAAGTTCGAGTGCCGAGGTTCCACTGTATTTTATTTTTCAAATATTGCTGCCTTCACATGTGACAGAAAAAGCATTGAATGTGATCAGTGACTTGCAAAGCCATTCTTTCTCTGAAAAGTGAAGGTATGGTTTAAATATTTACTTTTTTGTGGTTACTATTAAAATGCTCACTACTATCCCACAATTGGGAAAGCAAACTTTAGACAACATTTCAGACTATCCTGGACCATTATCATTGATGATGTAAGCCAAAGCCCAAATTAAGTATGTTTTTTTTAGGCAAGGTTACCCTGTTTTAACCTTAATTTTCATAAATTGATGTATAGTTAAATGTCTTACGTAGGTGTAGTCCTTCCTTGTCAATGCAGCCTCCCTTTGACTTCAATTTCCTTCAAGTAGAATTATTATTCTTCTTTCAACAAACTGGCCGTATCCCACTGAGGCAGGGTGGCCCAAAACGAAAAACAAAAGTTTCACTTTTTACCTTTAGTATTGTATACAGGAGAAAAGGTTACTAGCCCCTGGCTCCCGGCATTTTAGTCACCTCTTACGACATGCATTTCTTATGGAAGAAGAATTCTGTTCCACTTCCCCGTGGAGAAAGTGTTGAGTTATTGTTATTTAATTTAACTTTTCTTCTCAGGTAAAAAAGGTAGCAAGGATGTTGAAGAGCATCTGAAGAAAGAAATTAGTGAATTGGAAAAGCAACTGACCATCACCAAAGATGAGTTATCTTACTACCATCTTTTGCTCAGCAAAGGTATTGTACAGTTTGTCAGGGTGTGTATATACACTTGTGTGTTTGAGGCAGATTGCCAGCAACAAGCACCACCACCTTTACTACCATTCCTCTTCCACTCTCTCCCTCTTTACACAGTGCTCTCACCTTTTTTAGCCATATATGCATCTCATACCCATCTGTACTTCTTCTATCCTATCAACTTTTCTCACCAACACTTAAACTGATTCGGAATAAATTTTACATTCCATGATATTTTATAGCACTTTATAAAGTAGACACATTACCAATATTGGTTGATATCTTATGTCCACTTACAGAAATAAGGCCACTTAATCTATCTCATCACCAGTTTGATGCTAGACTTTGCTGGGATAAAACAAAACATAGTAAAATATAACTAGATTAATGGTATACCATACCTGCATGTTGATGAATAAGACATGTGCAAAACTTCGGTATCTTTATTGTGAAAATGTTTCTCCGACCAGTGGCTTTGTCAATTCGATGCAGATACTATATAGTACCAGAGACTGGAAGATGAGGTAATCAGTCCCTCAGCCAGGATAGAATATGTTCAGTCTCTTAGCCTTGAATATTCTGAAGCAGAGACAGCAGGTGCAGAAGAAATGGACAGCAGAGACAGCAGGTGCAGAAGAAAGGAGCAGCAGAGACAGAAGAAAGATGCAGCAGTTCAGGACATCCTCAAAGGTGCCTGCATCTGCTCTGCCTCAGTTCTGGCTCTGGTACATGTGTCCATCCTCCTGCCTCTGCTTCAGATCAATCAAGGCTAGGGGACTGAACACATTCTCTCCAGGCTGAGGGGACTAATCAATGCACCTTCCACTGTCTCTGGTATATTATCTCTGTACCGAGTTGAATAAGCCACTGACTGGTGAAATATAATCGTAATAAAGTTATTGAAGTGTTTCACATATGTTTTATTCATCAACTTGTTGGTATTATATACCATTAATGTAATTACTCTTGTCTGGAACAATACACAAATAATGCACACATAGGTGAAAGAAACTTTATGATGATGTTTCAGTCTGACTTGGACCATTAACTAGTCACACTAACACATGAAGGTAAGGGAACTAGTACACATATACTGGCTCCCTTACCTTCATTTGTTAGTGTGATTAGTTAATGGTAAAATTGGACCGAAAAATCATCATAAAGTTTCTCCTGTGTGTGCGTTATCTTTGTATTGTTCCAGTCATGATATTGTGCCTTTGTGTTCTTTAGTCTTGTCTAACTCAGCAACACTGTGGAATTTTGGTACAAGGGATATCTATTGCTGGCCCAACTCTTAGGCATAGCCTACTTAAACTAGTGGGCCCCACTCACCAGTGACAGTTCCTTCAATTGCTACACATCTCTTCTGGCTCCAATATATATGTACCATATTTCACAGCTTATAAGACGCTCCTATGCATTAGATGTTTTAAGTTTCAATGGCTTGGCATTGGATGTAAATGGGAGAGCTACAGCCCACCCCACACCCCAAACTTATAGCTCCTGTCACTGACCTTCAGTTTATAGGATGCAGGGTGGTTTTTGGAGACATTTTATTGAAAAAAAAAATGCATCTAATAAGCTGCGAAATACAGTAAGTATTCAGTCTCCTACCTTTACCTCAGATTGATCAAGGGTAAGGGACTGAACACCTGTCAAAGTGGAGGGACTGATTACCTCTTCTACTGTCTTCTGTCTCGTTTTTCTGTATTGAATTGAAAAAGTCACTGGTTAAAAATAAACAAAATTGGCAAACCATTTTTATTATAAAGATACCCAGGTGTTGTACATGTCTTATTCATCAGTAAATATCAGCACTTGAAGGGGTTTAAATTGCTGGAATTCTCAGAGCATAACACATGTTTGTTACTATAGGATCAAGCAAATAAAAAACATCACACTCTTTGAATACTTCATATAGATATTAGTAGTATGTAAAGCCTTGTGAATTGTTTGCCTGAAATACTTCTGCATAATTTGTGGCTTATTTTGAGTTTTATATTGTATCAAATTAAATCTGTATCATAATAAAATCAGATTCAAATTAGGTATACTCAATATGAATGTATTTCTACTGTAACTAATTTGTATGGCACATAAGAAATAAAAATTTTAATTTTATTTTTTAATTTTAATTTTTTAGTATTGCATTTTGATGAAAACAAAGAGTGAGATAAACAGTAGTTTTAGAAGTGTAACATAATGAATGATAATAATATGGATTACACGTAAAATAGGGAATACAAATATTTTCAACTGTACAGGTCAGCCATCACTAATCCAGCATCATTGGGACCTGTAGTGTGCCGGATTACAGAGTGGTTAGGTTAGAATACACTTAATTAACCTATCAATAGAGAGACTGCTACATTTTTCTCATTTTCATCACTGCTTTCTCCTCCACTGGCTTGCTGCTGTGGATTTACAACCATCTGCACAATCTGAGTCAGTATAATGATGAAATTTGAGTCAGTATAATAATTTGAGTCAGTATAATGATGAAATTTGAAATTATGCTAACCAAAATTAGTGCCGGATTACTGAGGGAGCAAGATAACTGATTGCCGGATTAGTGATGGCCAACCTGTATTAACATTTAAAAATTTTTAACAGACGAGGGTGCTGCAGCAAAAGAAAAAGACTTGTCATTTCTAGAGGATGCCAAGTATGTAGAGGAAAGAGCAACTTTGGAGAAAGATAGGCAGGAGCTAGCAAAAGAAAAGAAATTGCTGCACCAGGAGCGTGACAAATTCACAGAGGCTGCCATCAGACTTAACAGAGAAGTGAGTAGTGTGTGATTACAGCATTAGTGTGAATATATGAGGATTCATCCCATGAGCTACAATAGTGTGTGAAGTGCATATACCTGTGGAAAGGTGAATAACTGAAAGTGTAATTACATATAACAGTTTGAGGAGGAGGAGGTGAGTTCTAGTTCTTGGTCCCAACTCTTAACTTTTGACTGATTAATGTGATTGAACACACACACACACACACACATATGCACGCATGCACGCACATGGTTTCAGGGACAGGAAATCCTGTGTCACAAACCTACTGGAGTTCTATGACGTGGTTGACAATAGTAAGACAAGAGAGAGAGGGGTGGGTGGATTGCATTTTCTTGGGCTGCAAGAAGGCATTTGACACAGAGTTCCACACAAGAGATTAGTGCAGAAACTGGAGGACCAAGCAGGGATAACAGGGAAGGCACTACAATGGATCAGGGAATACTTGTCAGGAAGACAGCAGCAAGTCATGGTATGTGGCGAGGTGTCAGAGTGGGCACCTGTGACCAGCGGGGTCCCACAGGGGTCAGTCCTAGGACCAGTGCTGTTTCTGGTATTTGTGAATGACATAACGGAAGGAATAGACTCCGAAGTGTCCCTGTTTGCAGATGACGTGAAGTTGATGAGAAGAATTCACTCAATCGAAGACCAAGCAGAACTACAAAGGGATCTGGACAGGCTGCAGACCTGGTCCAGCAATTGGCTCCTGGAGTTCAACCCCACCAAGTGCAAAGTCATGAAGATTGGGGAAGGGCAAAGAAGACCGCAGACGGAGTACAGTCTAGGGGGCCAGAGACTACAAACCTCACTCAAGGAAAAACATCTTGGGGTGAGTATAACACCAGGCACATCTCCTGAAGCGCACATCAACCAAATAACTGCTGCAGCATATGGGCGCCTAGCAAACCTCAGAACAGCATTCCGACATCTTAATAAGGAATCGTTCAGGACCCTGTACACCATGTACGTTAGGCCCATATTGGAGTATGCGGCACCAGTTTGGAACCCACACCTAGCCAAGCACATAAAGAAACTAGAGAAAGTGCAAAAATTTGCAACAAGACCAGTTCCAAATTTAAGAGGTATGTCCTACAATGAAAGGTTAAGGGAAATCAACCTGACGACACTGGAGGACAGGAGAGATAGGGGGGACATGATAATGACATACAAAATACTGAAAGGAATTGACAAGGTGGACAAAGGCAGGATGTTCCAAAGATGGGACACAGCAACAAGGGGACACAGTTGGAAGTTGAAGACACAGATGAATCATAGGGATGATAGGAAGTATTTCTTCAGCTGCAGAGTAGTCAGGAAGTGGAATAGTTTGGGAAGCGATGTAGTGGAGGCAGGATCCATACATAGCTTTAAGCAGAGGTATGACAAAGCTCACGGAGACTGACCCGAAACTGTTGTATAGCCACATCAGGAGGAAGACAACAGTCAAAGACCAGGTGATCAGATTAAGGACAGAAGGTGGAGAGCTCACAAGAAATGATCAGGAGGTATGTGAGGAGCTGAACAGGAGATTTAAGGAAGTTTTTACAGTAGAGACAGGAAGGGCTGTGGGAAGACAGCACAGAAGGGAACATCAAGAGGGAATATACCAACAAGTGTTGGATG